ACAAATATGATGTAATATTAGGTCTTGGTATTATTAGTATACCAGAGAAAGCCTTACAATCTATTGCACAGAACAGGCAACCCTGAGAAAGGCTATTATAGGTATGGAAAAAGAATATCTAGATAAATCACAAAGTGAAAATGATTATGAATGTATTTGTTCTCCTGCGAGTCTAGAATAAAGAGGTAACATTATTTCAAAAAAAAGTAAATCTGAAATAGTGGCTACTGTAACAAAAGCTGACTGGCATCTTCTGCGGTTGTTTCCCAAATCAGTCTGTGTATCGAGACTATGTACCGGAAGGATATAGACTGGTTGGAGCGAGTCCAGAGGAGGCCACAAAGATGCTCAGAGGGCTGGAGCACCTCTGCTATGGGGACGGGCTGAGAGAGTTGGGTTTGTTCAGCCGGGAGAAGGCTCCTGGGACACTTTACAGCAGCCTTCCAGTACCCGAAGGGGCTGACAAGGAAGCTGGAGAGCGACTTTCTGAAAGGGCCTGTAGTGACAGGACAAGGGGCAACGGGTTTAAATTGAAAGTGGGGAGGTTTAGATTGGATATCAGGAAGAAGTCCTTCCCAGAGAGGGTGGTGAGGCACTGGCACAGGTTGCCCAGAGAAGCTGTGGATACCCCATCCCTGGAAGTGTTCAAGGCCAGGCTGGATGAGGCTTTGAGCAACCTGGTCTAGTGGAAGGTGTCCCTGCCCATGGCAGGGGGGTTGGAACCGGATGGTCTTTAAGGTCCCTTCCAACCCAAACCATTCTATGATTCTATAACTACTCAGAGTAGGTTCATTGATGAAGAAAAGTACTTTGTGTGTGCAGCCATTCTAATCTGTGTTCTCCTTGCTCAAATACAGTTACCAAGAACTTAATTTACTTTCCTTACTTGTTTAGCATAGTGCTAGGCACTGTCATGTCTCTGAAAAGAGCTAATACAAACCGCTTCAGGAAACAAGAGTTTCACTAATGAGGAACGTTTGCCATTTATCACCAGAGGTGCGTTATAGAGTAGACCTTCATTTGTATCTGAATTCATGGGATGTTTATAATACATGTAAAGATTTGCAGCTATGATCACCAGGGCTTTGTAACCTAACACTAGGACTTTTTTGTTTGGGGGATTTTTTTTTTGTTTGTTTGTTTGTTAACAGTGGGTCTTCTGATGCAGTGCGTGCTTTTCCTTGCACCAATAAACTAGTTAGTCATCTCTTTTTATGTCTTCACATACAATTCCTTCTCAGGATTTTTTTTTTTGACGTAAATGTATTTTTAATATATACATTTTATGCTGATTGGATATCCTCATCTGAATAATACCAGTTTGAAACAAATCTAAGTAATATGTATTAGTAACTTCTATTAAGTTTTAATTAGTTCCTTTTTTTTTTTAATTCCCTTCTAAGAATCTGTCTGTAGATGATGAGAAAAGCCAAGAGAAAGTAAAAGTTCCAGTGGATGTGATAGTGCAAGACCCTGCTAGAAATATTCCCAAATGGATTACGGTAATATATCTCCTGTTGTAAGTCATTGACATTAGAATAAGACAAGAACTCTCTAACTGTACAGCACAATGAATTCTAATGTAACTTCTGTGCTGTTCCATCATTGTTTTTCTCCTGCTTGCTGTCTATGTAAATATCATGGTATCTTGTGTCTCTGACACAATGACTTGTAAGAAACAGAGCAGATGATATCCAAATACTACTTTACTCTGTCCTTTGAACCTTGATGTGCAAGCTGATCTTCAGTAAGTTTTCTGAAAAGCCTAAATTTTGAGGTTTGTAGG